GGGCAACACACACACACATCCCTTTACAGAGCAGGAAGCAGAGAGATACTGCGTATCACAGTTGATAAACACCAAGCAGGAGGACGTGATGCGGAGCTAAAGGGTGAGTCAAGCAGGCCTTGAGTGCCAAGCTAAGCCACGATCAGGGCTTCTGAGTGGAGGAGGATGGTGAACCGGGTTCCCCTTTGGGAAGATAATCTTGGCAGCCAGGAAAGAGGGAGAAGATGGAGGAAACAGCTGGTGCTTTCCCTCCAGCTGGGAGGTGAGATCCGGGCCTCCCCTTATCCCTGAGGCTTTGCCTGGACTCCTAGAATTTTGCTTGAGGTCCTGCTTCCCTATGGCCCTGATCTTCAGGCCCATGGGTACCAGGTTGCTAAGCATTTGGGGCCTGGCTGTGTTAATGAGCAGCATCCTGCCATACCAGCCAACCAGGCTGGGAGAGAACTTCCTCAACCCAGCTGCTCGTGTCCTGGAAAGAAGCCCAACTTGGTTCAGAGACAGGTAAGGGGGAGAGGCAGCCAAGGGGCCGGTGCTGGCCTCCCGGCCTGGCTGTCATCCTGGGGACTGGGAGTACAGGAGCAGTACAGGCTTCCAGCCAGGCAGACACCCAAATCACAGAGACCAAGGTCTAGCTCAAGTGGACGGACTTGGTGCCCTTGGATTCTGTAGCCCTCCTCCCAACAATCCCGCCACATGGACTTCTGCAGCCCACCGGCCCCAGCATTGATGTTCTGTGGTCCACAGCCCTCGAGCTTGCAGACCGCACTTCTAGAATGGAAACTCAGGAGAATAAAGTCGGCTAAGGCAAAGACCCAGCTGCTCTTCCCCATCCCCAGCACTCCTGCTTCAAGGGAGAGACCACGGCCCCCAGAAGCGGAAGGGATAGTGGGCTGCTCTCTGGAAATGGACCGCCACAGCAAGCCCACCCTGGAGGCTCCATTAGTGTTCGCAAGGACCGGGAGCAAAGGAGCTGCATGGGGTTCGTCCAACACAGCAGCGCTTTGGGGCAAATAAGGCCATTCTGGCTACTTGAGAGCTTGGGGTCTGGTGAGGGGGAGCCAGATACTAAGAAATGATTACATCCCTGAATCAGGGGAAGGCAACTGTGTGTCTGGGAGACACGGCTCCCTGGAGAAAGGACGGGCCCGCTGGGCTTTGAAGGCTGAGTAAGAGGTCACAAGCATTCAGCGTGGGGAAGCACCAGCTCAAGTCAAGACATACTTAGGAAAGTCACAGTGTCTTCTGCTGGAGGGGACAAGGCACTTCCCTGTTGGGACATGGGCAACCAGTCTAGACGTAGAGTCACGGGAAAGAGGTCAGGAGGAGGAAAGGGTAGATGTGGATCGAAGCAGCATGGAGATTAGACTTAGCTTTGGATTTGGAAGCAGGTGACAGGGATGTTTAGCTGTTGTCAGTCTAGGCAGCACCCTGAGGAGCCCGTGGGCAGTGCTGCCTTATCTCCCTGGGGCCCAGACCAGGCCTGCGAGGGGCGGAGGAACCTGAGGCTCAGAGGGCGGAAGTGAGTGCCCCAGCTCGCACACCTGGCGAGGGGCCCAGCAAGAGATGGCACAGATGGACGGCCAAGTTCAACTGTGAGAGTCAGACTGGCCTTAGATGCCTGCTGCACCCTGGCTCTGCCGTCTCAGAGAGCCCTGACTCCTCACGTAGCTTCCATTTCCGTCAGCAAGTGCAAAGGACAGTATGTGACTCGGGAGGCTCCTACAGCCACAAGCAAGACGCTCTGTGGGAAGCCCCTGCCCTGGTCCAGGCCCGTTGGCTAGAGCCACAGATGATATTAGGATGATGACCAGTTCGAGGTAGGGTTAAACACAGGACTCAGGTTCCAGGCGGGAATGTCCTTCTTTCTGAGTTCACCCTCGCATTTGGGCTCCCTGGTGGACTTGAATTTGCAGAAGGGGTTTGTGCTTCTAACAAGGAACAACAATGGTCTAGTCCCTGTGGACTCTAGTGACCACGGGCTTGAGATTTATCTTTGCAGATAATCCTCAGTTCTCCCAGGCACAGCCTACAGGAGCATTTCAGTCTGAACAACCAGCCTAAACTACACCACTGTCCACCACTCAGTCCCCCCGCCCAAAAGATGCTGCCTACTCAGAAAAGCTCAGGTGGGAGGTTAATGGCAGGTATAGAAACCAAGGGGAAGAAACAACTGTTTCAAAACAGGCAGAGGACTCCACTAGACACTTCTCCCAAGAAGACACAAAATGCAAATTACTAACAAGAACTTGACCAACGACTGTTGCTCATTATCAGGGAAGTGCAAATCAAAACCACAGAGAAATCCCTCTCTGAGCCCATTGGCATGACTGTTTCAAAAACAAAGGAACAGAATATCACAAGCCTTGGTGAGGAGGTATGAAATGGACCCCTGTGCGTCCCTGATGGCAGCAATGCTGCCGGGGAAGATGGCAGAAAACAATTAGGCATAGATTTACCATGTGACCCAGCAACTCCTCCTCCAGGTACAGACCCCAAAGGATTGAAAGCAAAAATTGGAGCAGATGCCTGCACCCCCATGTTCACAGCATCTTTTGCCTAACAGTCAAAAGATGGAAATCATCAGCCAGTGAATGTATAAAGAACAGACAATGGAATATTATTCAACCATGAAGAGGAAGGGAATTCTGGCACACGAAGTGAATTAAACAGACACAGAAGGACAAATGCCCTCTGGACCCCTGTTTGAGCAGCGCCTGGAGTAGTCAAACTCCCGGAGACCGGAAGTGGCAGGGTCTTTGCCAGGGGCTGGGGGAGGGATATTGGGATTATTATTTAATGGATCCAGACAGAGTTTCAGTTTAAGAAGAGCAAATGAGATGAACGTTGGTGAGGGCTGAACCATGATGTGAACCTATTCAAACCCCATCACTGTTGACTTCAATGGTGGAAATGTTAAAAATTCATGTTATGTATATATTACTACAATTGTTTTAAAAAGACAGACCATGTGGGAAGATGCAGGCACAGCAGGTCGGGGGGAGATAGCTTGGTCTCCCGGGGCCAGGCTTGCCCCTGTGACTGCAGGAGTGGACACACCCAGAGGCCTGAGCTCCAGCTCCACCCTCAGGGTGGGCCTGGGGCAGGTCTGCCTCGCTAGAAAATCCGGAAGCTGTCTGGCTTACAGATTTCCTCCAGGACTGCCTTCTGGGCTCTGCCTTATTAGGAAGGCTTGGATGGTGCAGAGGAGGAGGTAAAGGGAACAGAAAACCAGACCTTCACCACCCTGGACATTCCAGGGAGGCCACAGGACCCTTTGACTTGGCAAAGAATCGGCCTCACAGGAATCATGACATCAGTGAGGGTCCTCGTTGCAGATCCTGCCCTCAAACTGGGTCAGTGAGGACAGTGCAGTAAAGAATCCACTTACAAAGAGATGGACAAGGACAAGGGAACCAAAGGACAGGGTTGTACAGCGGCTTGCAACAGCAAGACCCTTAGTGCCACAGTGCTTACAGGAACCCTGAGAGAGTCTGTGTAGAGAAGGTCACCTTAGGTAAGGACAGTCCTGCAGGAAGGGAGCCGGGGAGGGGGGAGGGGTACCCAGACCTCTCTCTCCATGCCAGGGCCTCCCAGTAGCCAAGTCCAACAGGAAGCCAGAGGACAGGGAGCGTGGTAAGGTGCATTCAGGCCACTGCAGCCAGAGCAGTGTGGCAAAGGCTGACAGGGAAGTCCCAGGAGCAAATGGGTGGGGGTCGGGGGTGGTGGTGAATCCAAGTGAATCACCACCACTCTGCACTTGGCCTGAAAGGGTGGCCAGGAAACGTCCCCTTGGCTAGTCCCCACCCTTTTTCAATGGCTGATCTTAGAGGTGCTGGGGAAGGAGCCTTGGGCTCTTTCAGGCATGAAGGGAGAGATGCTGTTTTGTTGAAGAGCCTCCACTTACTGACAGAGAGCAGTGGCTGGGCCTGCGCTTCCCACCCATGCACCGTGTTCTCATTCACTCACTCGGCCAGCGTCTCTGGAAAGTGAGTGCCCAGGCAGTGTTGGGAGCCACTAGAAAAAGAAGCACGGAGCAGCCTACCAGCAGCAGCCCTCACCCTGGCAGTTGTGCTTGGAGTCGGGCAGCCCTGGGCTTCGCCTGCCAGCTCCCAGGCTGTGGGTTGCACCCTCTGAGAAATCGGATCAATTACCTCCCCCTCCCCACTAGTTGTCTTAAGGATGCTGAGTAAAATTCTCTGAAAAGCACTGGGTGCAGAGCTCCTGATGCAGAGTCAGAACTCGGCAGGGGGGACGCAGCGCCTTGTTAAGCATCCCCTGGTTGGCTCATGTTCACCCATCTGCCCTTCTGAGCTGCTTTCTTTGGGATGATGTTGTAGTGAGTTTGTTTCCGTTTTCCTCTTCCTCTCTCCCCACCTCCCAGACCTGGAAGACCCGGTCAGGAGCCTCTAACTCCTCCCTGCCACCCCAGGGCTTGGAGGGGGCTCACAGTGACCAACATTCATACGGTGGCTGGATCCTGCCCATGGCTGGCTTGCATGCACTCGAGCTCGAGAACAGCCCGACTGGTAAACGCAATGCTGGGCCCATTTTACGGATGAGGAAACCCAGCCCAGGAGGCAAAGAGCCGGCGCGGGGATGGAACCCGGCAGTCGGGCTCTCCGAGCCGGCCCAGCACTGCGGCTCCCGGAGCAAGTGAGTGCGAGAACGCGTCCCGGGGCACTCCAAAAACGGACGGCGGAGGCCAGTCCCCACCGCCCGGGGCGCGAGTGCCGCGCGCCGGGACAAAGGCCGGGCGGGGGCCGGACGGGGGCCGGACGTGGCCCGCGGGGGCCGCGCGCCGGGACCTTTAAGGGGCGGGTCCGGGGCGGGGCCTCTCTAGGGGCGGGGCCTTCCGGGGGCGGGGCCTGGACTGCGGGCGGCTGGAGAGCGCGCGGAACGAAGGGCGGCGGCGGCTCGTGCTCGGCGCGGGCTCCGGATCGCGCTCGTCCCCGCTCCCGGCTCCCGGCTCCGGTCCCTCAGCCCGCCCCGGCCCCGCGGATCAGCGGCCATGCCGCCGCGGCGCAGCATCGTCGAGGTGAAAGTGCTGGACGTGCAGAAGCGGCGGGTGCCCAACAAGCATTATGTGAGTGCGGCGCGGCCCCCACGCCCCCTCGAGCCCCTGGCGCCCAGGGCCAGCGAGAGCCCCGGCCCGGGGACGCCCGCCCGCCCGCCTCGTGCCTGGTCCCGCGCCGCCAGCCCGACCCCGCTCCCCTCCCCCTCGCCTGCTGGCCCCGTCCCCTCCTCCTCCCTTCCTCCCGCCTGGTCCCCTGCTCCCCTCTGCCGCTCCCCTTCCCTTTCCGTCTCCCCCAGCCCTGCAGCTCTGGTGCTGCCCATCCGTGAAAAAGTCCGGCCCCAGCCGGTGTAGGGGACAGAGAGGAAAAGGGAGAGAGACAGAAGCGCCTGCTCGCGGGTCGCCCCTCATTGTCCAGAGGTACCTGACCCGCAGTGCCCAGCCAACAGGTAGCCCCTCTGAGCATTGCCGCGTTTGGCCCCATCCTTTTGGGACACCCAGCCTGAGCGAGCTAGATCTCTGGAAATGGCTCATTGGAGTCAACCCCCCCCCCCCATAACTTCCGTGTAAAACTGTAGGAAAGTTTTCTCTGGGAATCTCCCTCTGTGAAATGAGAGTCGTATTTGGAGCTGGCGAGGACTAGAGAAAATGGGCCAGTAGTGTCCTTTTGCAGATGGGAAGGGTGAGGCTCTGAGGCTGCGAGTTCCAAATCACAGAGCTGTGTTCAGGCCTTCCCTCCTTCTGGAAGGTGAACTTGGGGCTCCTGGTGACCTGCAGGTGGAAAGAGGCCATGCCTGGGTCCAGGTAGCCCTGAGACCACCTCAGAGCTTCTGGGTGGAGAGATGATAGGTGGAGAGGAGGTCTTGGGGAAGGCCTCCCTCCAGGAGGAAGGGGCTGTGGTGTCTCAGGGGATGAAAAGTGGGCAGCAGAGAAGTTAACCAGGAAGGGGAAAAAAAGCAAGAGGGAGGAAAAGAATCCTAACAAAGAAGTGGAGAACAATGACTAGAAAAGGGCGTTGGCTGTCTAAATTCGGCTCCTGGGCCTCCCTGGAAGCCCTCTTTGCATCTATTTTTTAAAGACACTCATCCTTACAAAGCAGAGCTACATGCCTTCCATGAATAGCCTATAAAATTCTGGAGATAGTGGGGAATCCACTGTGCAGTCTACAAGAAAGGGCGTGCTGTGCGGGTCTGTATTGTTATTGGCTGGGCAGCCAGCTATTCAGCCCTCAGCTGGGCGGTGGGAAGCTATTTCCTGGACCTGTGGCATCTTTAAATAGAGTGAAGTTTCCCTCAATCCAAGCTGAGCTAAATTGTCTCCCCCCTCACACCAACCTTTTTTTTTTTTAACTGCTTCAAGTGCTGCCAAATCTTGGTTTCTTGTTGGAGCCTGTTGAGTGTGTTAACTGAGTTGCCTTTTTGGTATGAAGATAGTTTTCACCAACATGGCAACAGAAGAAGTCTGGAATTCTCCATGCTGCCTCCCCCCCCAGATCTGTGAGCTAGTCGAAGGGAATAGATACAGCCACTGAGGACTGGGCGTCATCGTCCTCCCTCCTGTCCTCGCCTTTCACATGCATCAAGAGACCGTTCTCATGCCCCCTTGACAGATGAGGAAACCAAGGTTCACAAAGTTGAGGTTCTGTGCCTGAGGTCACAGTCAGGAGCAGAGCAAGTATGTCGATCCAGGTCTGTTGGGCTCCCAAATTGCTGTCCTATCAGATCACACAGCCTCCCAGATCCCCAATCCCCACACTTTCCCTGGGCAAAGTCCACTTGAAAACTGGGAAATCAGCCATGTCATTTGAGATAAGCCAGAAGTCCTTCATTCTCTGCTCCAGCAGATGCCTTCTTGCTACACGTTTTTTGAAGGGTTTGCAGGTTTGGGGACATCTTGCTAAGCTCTCAGCCACTCTTTAGGGGTCCCTTGAAGCAAGTCTGTGTTCCCACGTTTATTGGCTCAGATCTTGGTCTCCCAGCTTGCTGTGTGTGCTCTGCGCCTCGGTTTCCTCATCTGTAAGATGGGGACGATGGTGCCCTCTTCCAGGGTAGCCACCCTGTGACTGGCAGGAATGGAGTTCCTTAGCTCCCTGCAGCCTGCCTGCCGCATGGTGGCCACGTCACTGTGCTTGGGAGCATGCCGAAGTCACATGGGGGAGGGGAGTCCACCAGGGACTTGTTTCTCTGCATGTGGTTTTAGTCACTGGTGTGATTCAAGGGGCCAGCTCCCTTCTGGCCAGCGTGTGGGGGCGACGTGGCTGAGCTGAAGCTGAGGCATCTGCAGGGACAGAGAGTTTGGTGCCATGAGAGCAAGGGGTTCAGACCTGGAGGGACTGGAGTACCACCACCCTGGTTCCCGAAGCCTGCCCCCATCCCCACCCTGAAAGGAGCCGGTGAGGGAACAGCTGTTAGAAGGCTTGGACTTGGGCTCCCATTTAGTGTCCCTTTAGGAAGCCACCGTGAAGAGAGCGTGAGCTGGGGGCTAGGCAGTCCTGGTCTCCACCACTTCCTGCTGTGTGACTTTGCACAGGTCGGTTTGCCTCTCTGAGCCCTGGCTTTCATGATCTGCAGATTGTGAACACTGCTGGTTTCCTCTGGGACCAAGTTTCTCGACCTTAGCACTGCTGACCTTTGGTCTAGGTCGTTCTTTGTTGTGGGGCTGTCCCTGGCATGAAGGGTGTTTAGCAGCAGCCCTGACCTTACCACCGCTCACCAGGCCCCACTTCTTCAAACTTCCACCCGCCCCATGTGGTATGAACTTCCACCACAGGAACCCCTGGGGGACACTCTACCTCCAAACCTCAGTAAGGAGCGTCTGTCAACAGAATATGCAGAGCAGCTTCAGAGTGTCCAGTCACCACACACCCAGTCCCCCTTCCTGTCCCCCCATTTGCAGCTACCTCAGCCACCATCTGCTCATCAGCAGTCACCTGGGAGGGACAGGTCATGGTGCTGCAGATGTCATTAGAGAGCATGCCTGGAGCTCAAGTCTGGCCACAAGGGCTAGCCACCTGTTCCGCCCCAAGTGGCATCTTCCCCATGTCAGGATGGCGTCCTCTCCAGCCCCAGCCCAGCCTGCCTCACTTGTGGGCAGAGGCTGCCTCAGTGTGCCCAGGGCTACAGGCCAGGTGTGGGAAATGCAGGGGCTGACACTCCCGGGGGGCCTCTGAGACCCCAGCAGTGAGGCTGAATTGACGACGATTTTGTTTGAGGAGGGCTCCCCTGGAGCTGTGGCCTGCTGCTTCTCTGCCCACACCCACCCTGCCCACCCCAGAGCCCCAGGGTCTGGGAGTGAATGGGAAGGGGGCATCTGAGTGTGGCATCCTCTGGAGCCCCTGATTGTGCCCTTCCAGCTCAGGGAGGAGGAGGACTGTGGGACTGGGTTGTCTGGGTTGCCGGTCTCCGGCACTGGCGGGTACCTGGGGGCATTTGGTTTAGCAGAGTCTGGTCTGCGGGGCCGGAAGAGGCTGCCTGCTCTGCATGGGAGCCTTCAGGTCACGGGGAGCAGGACGGGTCATCCTCCTGGAGCCATCCGAGGACAGCTGAAGTGCACCCACTGCTGTGGCCAGGCACCGATGAAGCTGCCTCTGTGCTCAGTGGTCACCATGGCCCTTTAAACTGGGCATGTTGTATTATATGAATCCAGTGCTTCAAATACATAGAACAGAGACCAAAGTAAACACAGGTCAATAGCCTTCACTCCTCTTGGCCAAAGCGCGACGTCTCCCATGTACGCTGCAGATCCGTTTTACTTTTTAAGAAATAAATCATTAAACTGGACATGGTGGTGCACATCTGTAATCCCAGCTACTCAGGAGGCTGAGGCCAGAGGATTGCAAGTTCAAGGCCAGTGTCAGCAACTTAGTGAGGCCCTGGATCAAAATAAGAAATATAAAGGGCAGGGGCTGGGGCTCAGTGGTTAAACGCCCCTGGGTTTAATCCTCCGTACCCCAAAATATACACAGGTAGAGACCAACGGACAGGATTTTTCTTTAACAGCTTTATTGAGGTCTCATTTACGTGCCACAAGAAGAACTCACTGATCTTTTTCGTGGGTTTCTAGAGCTCAGTAGCCATCACCACAATCTGGTTTTAGGACACTCCCATCACCAGCCTCCCCAGGTGCCTCCTGCCCCTGCAGGAGCCCCTCTGCCCAGCCTGCATCAGTGTCTTTGCCTCCCACCTGCCGACCAGCCACCTCAGATTGTCCCGAAAGTTTCAAACCGTGCGAGAGCAGCTGGCTTTAAGAGCTGTGTTAGCCCCGCTGTCCTTGGCGGCTCCAGAGCTGTTCCCTCCTCGGCCCCCATGCCCTAGCAGCCAGCCTGGGGCTTCCTCGAGCCTGTTCAGGGACCTGCTGGGGCCTGGGCTCTGTGTGTGTCTGTGTGCAGATCTGTGGCCTTGCTTCGCCCTGAGCTGTCAGATGTCTCAGTCACACCAGTCTGCTCCGTCCTCACGCCTGCATCAGTCATGTCAGTCCTCTTCTGTGAATTGCCCAATGTCACCCTTCTCCCCTTTGCCAGTGTGGTTTGTTACTTTCTTCTCTAGTTTTGAAGGATCTATTTATATATCAGGATTCTAATCTCTCAGGTAGTTTCCTTAGGGTTCTTTCTTTCCCCTACGGAGCTGGGGGCTCAGAGGTAGAGGCACATGTCTGAGGTCACACAGCAAGGAGTGGCTGCAAGGGAACTGAGCTAGATGGCTTTGTGTTGGTGGAGACAGAGCAGCCCTGCCATCCCACCACCCAGCCAAGTGACCGTGGATGGCTCACTTTTGCTCCTTGGCCCCAGTTCTCCCTTATGTGAGATGTCAGAGCCACCCTGGGCCCTTCCCTGATCCCCCAGTCCCTCCAGCCTAGAGAGACACAGTGAGCGTCACTGCCAACCTCAGTCACCCTCACCCGGGGAGCTCTGGGTGGGTGGTGGCCTGGGGTGCCAGGTGGGCCCGGCCTGTGAAAGCTCCCTCCTTGGTTAACCAGGCTCTGGGAGGCTGCAGTCACCGTGCCACACAGTGGCGTCCCAGGCAGATCTGAGTGTTCGGCTTTCCCGTCCCCGTCCCCGTACCCGTCCCCGCCCT